AAAGCGTCAATTTCAAGACGTTCGACATTTGTGTTTGTTGTTCATTTTTTATTTTGATTTTTATACACGCATAATCTTGAAGTTGATTATTATTATTATTTTTTTTCAATAATTATTTCTTTTTTAATTGTTTTCGGTTTTTGTTGCTACCATTTGACGACTTTTAATACACATCTACGAGTAACGCTAGCATAGGTTGGTTACAAGTTATAGTCGTAAATATATATATACATATACATATAGCATACAAGTGCGTATGTGTATACATATATATTTAGTTAACTGTATGTATATATATATATATATATATATATATATATATATATATAAATGTATTGTGTATGTATATTTGTTATTTAAAACTTGTTGTAACATTTAATAAATTTAAACATTGATTGCTCTTGCGTTATGACAATAGGTTTTATATATATCAATATGTATACATATAGGTGTATATATGTGTATATATATATATATCTTCTCTCTACAAATTCTAGACAATTCAATATAGCATATTGTTTCTTATTTTAAGCGCTCTTTCCTTGTGATTATCCTTGACTATGCTTTAAGGTATTTATGTTCGCCTTTGCATTTGCACATATGTGTATCTGTGTGTTGTGTATGTATGTAAATTGTTATGTATACATATATTTTGTTATTATAGGAAAATTTGGTTTCATTTTTTTTTTTTTTTTTGTTTTTACGTCGTCCAGCGACATTTTATCATATTTCAAACATATGATAGGCTTCCTATGACAGGAATTTTTAGGCATTCAGAGGGTTAAACATATGTATTTGTAAATTTGTAGTACACATACGTTCAGATGGAATTCAAAGTACAGTAGACTCTGGCATAAATTTTGTATGATTCGTTCTGAAGAATAGTTTTGAAAAATGCGCAAAGTTTGCGCTTTTAGCCAAAAACAGGAAAAACGAATGAGAGCTTTGGGAGCATTTGAGAACAATTAGCATTATGTACAAACTAAGCGAATGATGGATCATGCAATTTAACTAAATGCTGACGAATTAAAAACAAATTTGCCTAACAACTATACATTCATATATGCTTTATATTTAGATATATGCGCTGAGACAACATCGAGACTAATTGAAGAAAACTCATTATCAATTTTGGTATTTCTGATTGCAACAGTTAAGGGCCGAAATATTGATGTATTCTTTGTGGAATCGTCTGTGGGCTCGAACTGATGCCTGCTGACCTGCTGGGCTGGGCAGGCAGCAAGCCGAGTTCAATGAACATGTTGCCGCTGACTGACTGACTGACTGACTGACGGACTGACTGACTGACGGACTGTTTGATTGACTGACTGACCGATTAATTGATTAATTGAACGCTTGCATGATTGATTGACGGTTTGATTCGTACATATATATATATATATATATATATGTGTGCTCCATTGTTGATTTGATTGTTTTGCTTACAGGATTTCCAGTTGCCAATCACTTAGAGTCTAACAATAGTAGTATAAAGTACTCATAGGTAAATTAGTTTTAGCTATATAGTTGTACATAGGTTTAAAGTTTAGGTACATGGTACATTTTAACTCTCGTTTTTATGCATTTTGTGTATCTCACAATTTTCTAATCTTCTAACAAAACAGTAACAAACACTTAAAAGTTTCTTTTGGGGTTTCCTTCTTCTTTTTTTTTTTCAAAATACACAGATTTCATTTGTTGAAAGTATGTGATATGCCACAACAGAATTTCTAATTACGTTGCATTCCATTATATGCCACATTTTGTTTTATTTACTCATTTATTATTATTTTTTTATTTTTTGTAGCCTTCTGCAAGTTGTTTTTATTAGCTTTGTTGTTCTTATTATATTTAGCTTATCGTTCATTTTGTAGTTCGGAATTAAAACAAACACCTGAGGGTATACAAAATTACTGCAAGTGTTTTTCTTGTTTTTTGGTATATGTCCGTAAATGAGTTTGAGAGTGTGTGTGCGTGTGTGTGTTTGTGAATATGAGGGCTAAAACTTCCCAAACATTTGATAGTATCAGTAAAGAGTGAGAATGAGAGAGGGAGCGAGAGAGAAAGAGAGAGAGAGAGAGAGCGAGCGAGCAGAAGCGAGAGCTGCTGTTTCAAATATTTATAGTAATTACAATAAACAGTCAAAAGGTACGAGTTTTAGTTTAACTGGTGGTAATCGAGCGGTGGTTAATTCAATTCTGTTTTTGTCTGGATTGTCTCTAGTCATTAGGAATCAACACCAAACGAATAAATGCTGGGACTTATACATACTAAATTATCAATTCCTGGATATGCATAGGTCTGTAAGCGAATGTATGCTAAGCGAATAGTTTAGTACTATGATTAAACAGCTTCAATGAGTTTTCAATGATCTTTCTCTTTTGTTTTACATTATTTAATTTGACTTGTTCAAATTTGTAAAGTGTGCACACTATGCAATTTTATTTACGTTTACTTCACATTCTCATTGCAAGCAGCTTTTCGGGTTTTAGTTAGATCAAGCTGTTCATTTATATGAAACTATTTTGTATTTGGTTAAATAATATGAGAATAGTTTCAAGGGCTTAAAATATGATTTGTGTACTGTGGCTTGAGCTGGATTCAGAACTGTCCTAAGCCTTGTTAAAGTCAACTTTTAGAATTAATTTCATTTCAATCTACTTTATTATATGCAAATATCAATATTAAAATAGTGAAATTTAACTTTTATTTAATACGTAAGTGTAAATATGTTTATTTACTACGATAATCGAATTAATTATAATTGTTACTGTTATTATTCAATGGAAGCATATTATAATTTGTAATTAAATTTTGAAAGGCAGAATGATTGCCATGAAGAAATATTTGATAAGTCTATTGAACGTTATGTAAACAATAAATGAGGAAACAGTTTTGTTCTTGTTGCCCGTCGAAATGCCAATTACTGGCGGTTGCAAAACGTCACAAATGTACATTTCTCACACACATACCCACACACAGATACAGGGAGACATCACAGCACACATTCAACGACTGGAATTGCATTTTGATTGTCGTAATTAGTCAGCCGAGCAATGCAAACCTAACACACATATCAATTAATGTCGCCCACCACCCACATGAAATTAGCTTTATTGCGGCTGCAAAATGGGGCAGAGTGAATGCTGGTTGTTTGCTTGGCTTAGGGGAGAGTTTGGAGCGCGGGGGGTTGTACATTTTTATCAGCGAACACAACGATGGCCATTAAAAGCGACATTCACTTTGGCATTGGCATTGGCATTGAGGCTGTGTCCCATATTACTCATACGACATGTGGGCCACGTGCAGCAGCAGCAAGCCATGAAATGCAGCAAACTGCGTGTGTCTCACTAAGGGTGTGTATTTGTGTGTGTGTGTGTGTGTGTATGACTAGTAGTAATAGTTGGGCACAGGTGTCCTTGACCTGTCCTTGATGCAGCTGGGTCGAGGCTGCGTTCATTCTGTGCACATTTTATGTTATGCTGCAAAGTCATATTATAAATGCAACCCCGTAATGGAGGACCGTACGACTATTTCGCCTCCATTTCTTGCCGCGCTCTGAGTTCGGGTTCGAATATAATGCAATTAGTGGCGCAAGCTTAAAAAGGACAGTGAATTAAATGTTAACATTTCCACAAAGCACACCGGGGAAAACTCCCTATAGAAGGAGAATACAACATACTTTTCCAGACAAAATATCTTTAAATTATGTATATTGGATGTCATAATAATACTATAGTTGATATTCAAATTTAAAAGTCAACTGTTCATATCTCCAGAAATATGTGCATAATAGGGCTGAGTTAATTTTTTTTAGAGTAATTAATAATTCCATATTATAAAATATTGTTAAATATTATATGTAAAATAATATAATTGAATAAATAATAAAAACTTGTAATAACTTTTAAAATATATTAAATAATATAATATAATTACATACATAATAATATAAATAATATTAGTTGAAATAAAATGAAATATAATAAATAGTGAAACAAATAGATAACATTTTATAATATAATATGAAAATATACTAAGTAAAATAATGTTTTCAATGTTTTAAATATAATAATAAGTATTTGATTATCTGGCTCCAGATAAACAACAAATAATTTTGTATAAAAACACGTGAGAATTATAAGCTCCATAAAAAAAGCTCAGCTCAATCGTTATTATTTTTTTTTAGATATAGACAGTTTAATCTCCAATTTTAAAATATCTATCGACATGACACCCATAGACATAGATTATAAATATGCAGAAACATATTTAACGCATAGCTAGTCTGAATATTGTTTTGCTTATTTAACATAAATTGCTTTTATTTGTTTTTAATATCATTAGCATAGGAAATGCTCGTTTTTTTAAATTGGGTGGTAGTTCGTCGTTGGCTTTTTATTATTTTTTTTGTAAACTTTGCCCAGCGCCATTTTGGTCAAATTAATGGCTATGGGCGAAATGCAAATGGGTTTGGTAGGCGGGGGCCGGAGAAGGACATACCTCAACGTAGGTGTGCAAATTGCTCCATCAAAATAAGCCTCTGATGTTTTTTCAAATGTTTTTTTTTCTCGGTCATGGGTGGTTTGCGTAATACCGAGTACTCGATGTATAATCATGGGATTCTCGATACTTAACTGTAGGAATTTGTATTAAATGCAGCCAAGCGAGTTTATGAAATGTGTGTGTGTGTGTGTTTGTATTTGTGTGTGGCATGTATGTGTGTTATGTGTGATTTTAGATTTCCATGTGAATGTGGTAAAAAACATGATTTGGTTGATGCTGCACAGCACAGATTAACTAATAAACGGCTAATAACTCGTTTAGAGGGTGTCTCATAGTCGAGCTGTTTTGTCATTAACACTTGTTACTCCTCGCTGCAGCTGCTTTCATATTCCTTCAGGCTCTGTCCTTCAACTAGCTTTTACACACACACACACACTCTCTCTCTGTATCTCTCTCTCTCTCTTTCTCTCTCTCTCTCTCTCTCTCTCTCTCTATTTTCCTCTCTGTGGATTTTCCTTATCGCCCAGCTATTTCTCTACCTGTCCGCAGTTTCATTTTCCACATTTACGTGACGCGGTTTCCATTTTTATTTTCGTTTTCACAATTGCCGTTTGTTTGTTGATTTTTCTATGCGTTGTCGCAATGTTTTCCTTTTCTCAAATAAAAAGAGATGCTGACTGACAAAGCGGGAATAAATGAGCGCTCGACTGAGGGGGTGACGGGGGTTGCAGTGGGTAGTGTTCGAGTATGGGTAAAGACTCGATGAAAACAAATATTAATAATCTTTTCAGTTTTTTTTTTTTTTCATATATCGCGCACGTGCTCCCAACTGTCTTCCATTGTCCTATGCTGGCGCTTATGTCTGAACAGGCACATTGCTGTCCGCCTCCTGGAGCACAGGTGCTGTCCAGACGCCGCTGCCACTGCGCGTCTTGCGCTGCTGCACAATCCCGTCCATGATGTCCAGCTGCAAATTGTGTATGCTGCCGCGATGATCGGTTAGGGGCGGTCCGCCGATTATGCTGCCACGACGACTGCCGCTGCAAGGTAGAGGGAAACTAGTTGAGATATTATGATTCAATCACAAATCGACCGTGCACCTGCTCTCTTCGCCTGGCAGCTAACAAATGTGAGAACGGGAGGGATTAGCAGCTGCCCCAAGCCGACAATCTGCTACCCTACTGTACAACATTGTTGCTATCTTAAGCAGGGGCGTGAACCGAACCCAATCGGTTTCTGAATCGAAATTTGTATTTTATTATGAACCGAAAGTCAAGCTTTAACTGCAAGCGATTCAAAGGAGGAACACATTCATATACTATTATTTTTTTTAAATATTCTGATTTAACATTTAACATTTGCTGACCTCACCTTAAGCATTGCTAGCTTGAGCCTTAACTAAAGGAACAATTGCTCGGAAATAAAGCTCACTTATAAAAGCATTTTCAAACTACATGCTTCTAAGCTGTTTTGCTAGTTTCTAGCTATTTATTTTTTGGTTAGAGACGGGCAGGCCACTTAAAATAAGAATTATAAGCGAGAGCTCACAAAAAGTGTGCATGTTGTACTTTTGATACATTTTATTGCAATCAGTCAGCGGTTTATGCATTTAAGCTGAGCCGGTTTTTAGGTTTGCTTTAGACTTGAGACCTGCCCGATTCAAGCACAATCCCATAAGGCTATCGCTGGGATATCAATATTGTTGCTGGCACAGCACAAAAGCATTGAACAGCCGGCGGCGTAATTCAATTAGGCGTGAGTCAAAGAGGCCATGTCCTGCCATGTCCTTTGCTGTTGTGCCAGCCTTTCTTTTTGCTGGAGCTGCTGTTGCTTTTGCCGCCTGCTGGTCGGCGCTCCTGCACTTTCAACGCTAATGGCGCACAAAACTTCCAATTACTGGCTTAAGTGGCAGAGAAGCTCGGCGCTGAGCGTAAATAAAAATGTCATTTACCTGAACGACACGGCGGAAATGGACTCGCGCCGATTGCGTCCGAAGAGCGTTGGCGGCACAGCCGATATGGTGACCACTGAGTGTCGACGGCCGCCTGCGGTCGGATTTGACTTCTGCGAGAGGGTGGCCAAAAATTCGACCTCCTTAGGACTGATGCCGCCCGTCTCGCCACCCACCTCGGATAGGCGTCGCACCTGGCTAGCGGTGATGCCCTCGGTTATTTGCAATGAGGGCAACGAATGCTTGCGTCTCTGCTGCATATCGGGAAAGGGGCACAACAGATACGGATTAACTGGTGAGTCCGGCTCCGAATCGTCGCTATTGGTGCGTTTGGTGGCACTCGGATCAAAGCCCCCAGCAGCGCCCTCCAGTTCATCGCCATCCTCAACGGCATGCGACTCCTCGACAACAATCAGCGGCTCTTGAGTGCTCAAATTGAACACGGGCGTAAATGAGGAGCGACGCATCGTGGCTATGCTGAACTTTGTCTCTGAAATGATATAAGAAGAAAATAAAGGTAAATAAATAAAATCATTCAGCAAAATCAGTTTTCAAACTTTTTTTTTTTTTTAACAAATTAAAATGAACCGCACAGCTGAGCTTTTCGCTTTGTTTGAGCTGCGTGTGCAAAACTTTTATCCATTTTCTTCTTTCATTTTTTTTTTTTTTTTTTTTTTTTTGTATCAATATATGCCAAGTTGCCAACTATATGTGTATACATAACATATATGCCCCTCAAGCAAATGTGAGTTGTTTGCCCAAAATCGTACAAATTATGTAATATGACAAAAAGAAGGACTGCGGTCGGTTAGTTTCGACTGTGGCTACGAAAGTGCACAACCACGAGATGAGTTTGCTCTTTGCAACTTTTGCAATTATGCAGCACTAACTAACTATCTAACGTCGAATATTGTATATAAAAGCTTTGACCAACTTGTTTTTCCGCCTAGAGATTGTATTTTTGAAAGCCCCGACTTCAGCTTCAGCAATAATTTCAACTTGTTAAGCCTTACGGCTTGGGTCAGCCAGCTCAAGTTCCTTCACTTACATCGGTTACTATGCAAACAAATTCCAGGCTGGTATTTATGGATCTTCTCCTAAACTAGCCGTTGCTTTTACTTCTGGTGTATATAAGCTCTTCGTATAAGCATGACAAGCACATAAATCAGTAAATAATACAACTCAATAGTATTCAAAAAAAATGTATATATAGAGGCAAAGTTTGTATTATCAAGGCGCACTCATATTGGCAAAGAATAGTTATGTAATAAAATGGCGACAATTCGTTAAATATTTAAAATAAAATTCAGATGCTTAAATTGTTTAAAGACAGATTAATAAACTGAACAAGCGATACGATGCGTATTATAAGAGGGCTACATAAGAGGTTGATTAAGCTGAAATTTGAGCATTTAAGCTGTCTTAAGCTGTCTCTTAAGCTGTCCGACTTGTCAGATTGATTTGGTCAATTGCTCGAGCTTCTTTTGATTTCAGGGGTTCCTTAATGCATGGTGAAAAAGGTTGAAAGTATATGTCATTAACTTAGCTGTTTACTTTCTTTTGTAATTAAATAATCTCGCCAAATATTAGTGCCTCGACAATGCAAATTCTGCCTCAATTGCCTGCAAATGATACATTTTCAATTAGCTAAATTAAATGAATAAAAAGGTTGAGCTGAAAAAAAACCCTTTTTAAGTCGGCCAGAACAATCCCAAATGGGCACGAGCATCATTAAATGGCAGCCAAGGCGAAAGTGCGCTTTAAACAAAAAAAAAATATATTGTATTCTTTTAGGGGCTCGCCGAAAGAGAGTGAGCGAAAAATTACGCATTCGCCGTGTTGTACGCAAACAAAGCAAAATAAATGCGTAGAAAAAAAAACAAATGAAATTGTTCAGTAAGAGCCAAAAAAAAAAAACTACAACAACAAAAGGGGTAAGAATAACATTGTCGTTTAGTGCGTACTAGATACCCTGTTATTATCAAATGGATTCCAAGTTGGCTGATAAAAGAAATAGAACTGTAAAAAATACGTAGTCAAAATGGTCTTGAGAAGTGCATCTAAGCCTTTTGTCATGGCACTGGAGATTTGAAACGAGCCCAAAGAGATATGTGTTTTACCTTGAAATTGATTTGGGGTTTGCGAAATCGATTGAATCACAAACGAGAACTGTAAAGAACATTGAATGTTCTTCATAGCTGACTGCACTTTTCATTAGTATACGAGCACGCCTTGCCTATTTTCATCTATATAGGGTGTTCGAAAGAGTGACACGTGTTGTGATTCCACGCCAGTGTACGTGAGTGTGTGTATGTGTGTGTGGCTGACGACGCCAGCTTAATGTGTCTACTGGGCTTTTGCTGTTGTGTTTTTCACTGGTGGCGCCAACAGGCCGTCAACTCAATTGATGTTCGACACACACACATCACACAATCACACAAACACACACACACACGCACGCACGCATATTTACACCCACACTGATTGCTATGTATAGCATATGTGTGTGTATTTAGTGCTGACTTATCCATTGCCGAAACGAGAATAATGAGCACTATTAATAGCATCTGACTGACGATTGGCTGCGATTCATTCAATTTGAAGCCAGGAAAACTGCCAGAAGGTGGAGTGGCGTGAAAAACGTGTCACTTAATCAGCATTAAAGAGCCCAGCAATATAATTAGTAAGCGAACACGAAGCGCACACACCAAGCACTAACATAGTAAGCGCACGCCCACACACCAACACACAGCCATACACAAACACAGATACAAAGGACACACACATCACAACAATGAGATGAAAATCGAAACCAACAATTGTAAACCTGAGTCTCACGTAAATCTCATTTAAATTTCTTTTTGGTGCACACAAAAATCGAAATCCGCCGGGCACACTCACACAGCCATAAATGTGCCGTAAATGTGTCACACTGTGTGTGTTCGTGTGTGTATGCATGTATGCATGTGTGTGTGTGTGTATGTGTGTGTGTGTGTGTGTGTGTGTGTGTGTGTGTGTGCGTGTGTGTGCGTACGTGTGTGTATGTATGTATGCGTGGGTGCGCCAGAGTTCGAGTTTATTACCAAAACGCCTGGGATGCCGCTGTGTGGAAAAAGAGCAGGAGAAAGAGAGACAACGGATGCTGAGCAGATGGAAGAGAGCTTAAGCGGAAGATATCCTGTATAATCTATTTCAAAATGATACCCTATACTTGATATTATAAAGGAATTGCATTTAAAATTGTGTACGATGTTGTATCAGACTGTACAAGATTAAAAAATAAAATAAATAACTAATAAACTCCCCATTAACATTTGTTAGAAACATTTAGGACAAAAGTATACCCTGTATTAGGTGTTACAAGAGCGTATATGCTGCGTTTGAATTCAAAAAATGCACTATGTTGGATGCAAATTAGTAAGTATTATTCTTTTTTATTGACATTTATTGAAAACATTTTAGGTAAGCGACTTTTTTGTTTGTTATATATTTTCTTTGATATCTCAAACTTGCCTCGCCTTTGCATATATAAACTTTTTTGATTTTTTGCAATTAAAAAAGTTTGTATATAAATAAAAAAAAATTGAAGTGCAATTTACCGCTTGGTAGGTTAAGGCAACATTTCATTGAATCGAACGTCGGGTGTTATAGTTTCATGTCCTGCCATCGAATATTTTTTGATGTGCCTCATTATTGACTTCTAAAGCGTTTAATTTATGAAGAATTACAGCTTTCCAGGTAAATATATAGTAAGCTTGATGCATTGAAGCTTACTCAATAACAGAGGTAGAGAGATAGCGAAAGAGACGGTAGAGAAACTTAAGCACATTGTGTGCAAGTGCAGCTTGCATTTATGATGTACATGCATATCTGTCTATAAAGTTAGACTATTTTGGTGATGCGAGCTCTTAAACAATGGAAGATATAGCAGCTCACTTTTTAGAGCTATATTTGATTAGTGGACAATATTTGTAACTGCCTTAAAATAAGCAACACGATTGGCCTGAAATGCAGCTGGGGCCCGAAATAAAGAAAAAAGAATACTACATCTCTTCAAAAGTGTTCAGTTTTAGTTTGACGTGCAGCATCTTAATGCCAATATTCTTAAATGTGGTAAGTAACTTCGGAAACCCCTATTTGTGGAGCACACACAAAGCTAAAAGGGTACATAAATTCGTAGAAATATATAGCCAAGTTGGGCGCAGAGTGAATGAATTCGCAGAAATCGACAGCATACTGCTTAATTGTCAGTAACCTTATAATCCAACCGTTACTCGGCAGAAATATAATATACATATATAATACATATATGTATATAGAGGTGCATTAATAGTAAAACATAACCACAATGCGGTTTTCATACATGCTAAATCCCTTCAGGGCATTTAAGCAATTACAATCCCATTAAATAGCTCCTACTGCTGCAGTTTCTGCTCTCCTTCAAAATTCAATTAATTTGAAGGCCATTGCAATAACCATTGCACAGAAAATTCAATTAGTTACTGCAGCTAAATCGAGCGAAAATAGAGACTACTTCCTAGAACAATTTATGAAATTAATGAGGACATTATTATAATTACAATTATCAATATGATTGTAAATAGCACTAACAACTATGGCCAACGACCAAGACAATACACACAAGAGTCGCCTGGGATTCAAACTAGAATAATCCTTAATCAGTTGCCCAAATTAGAAGGTCACTTAGAAACCGTATCTATATATATACGTATATATAACTGTCTATTCTAACTGACTGTCTGAATTAGTGGCTGACTGACAAATTTACTGACAGCTGATGAGAGTTTTTTGTTAACATATATTTGACACGTTTTTTCCGATATCCATGCAAGTCAAAGTTAAATGAGCGAAAGTTTATGATTCGGCTTCAGGATTCTAACCACAGGACCAAATTTTACCAACTAACATTTTTTGCCACGGACAAGGCCGAGTAATACGCGCTAATATACATATATATTAAGGAGCATATTTTTTTTTCAAAATTTTTTAAGATTATAAAACTGTTTTGTACAATGGCCAGGTGCAGCTTGATCTTCGACCTACTACTCATAAGTGTTTTAGCTGAATCGATATATTGTTTATAAGGTACATTAAAATCAAATACATAAGATACATGATTATAGCCAAAAGGCGTCCATGGGCTATTTGCTTAAGCTAGAAATTGATTGCTGCCGCAGTTGAAGCTTCAAACCAGCGACAAAATTGGAGGTAGCGAAATTGTAAAAGTGCAGCATACTTTGCGGCATCAACAGATCTTAATGAATTATGCAGCACAGTGTTTTTGTTTTTAATTATTCATAAAACGTAAAATAACAGTTCATTTGGCCATGTAATTATTATTATTATTATTTTTTTTCGATGATTGGATGCTGGCTTTAAATCGTACCACGTATTTGAAGAACGAATGTAAAAGGCTTTATTATGTTTATTTAAATGACATTAAAATACACACAAAATCAGCTGGCCGCA